GCAGGCCCACGCCGCAAACCGGCAACATGGCGGCTGCAGCAGCGAAGGCGTCCAGGGCGTCGGGGGCTCTGCAGGCCGGCCGTGCACGCTTGGTCACCGCTGGGTGCGCGCGGCGCGGCCTGGGCCTGGCACTGCCCGTCTGGGCGACGAGTCCGCGCGTTGGATCCCCCATGTGGGCCCAGGGCTGGGCGCTTTCGGCCGGGGGCAGTGCCCCGTGGAGGGGGTACAGTTCCGAGGCCAAGGCGGAGGACGAGTTGAAGGTTCGGTACCTGGAGGAGGAAAACCGAGGTGAGGTGTCGGGCGGGCACTGGCGGCGGCACGGGCTCGTCCACGGGCGGGATGGGGGGTGTCCTGCAATTGCCGTCGCGGGGGAGTGGTCCACAGATCTGGGGCTGAGCACACGTCCGTGTCCGCTGCGTCTCCCCTGAACCCCGCCGACGTCGGTCGACTTTCCCTTTGCATCACTTTCAATATTTCAAGTGAACAATCCAGCGCAGATGCGTCCTCTCCAGAGGAGCCAAGGTCACAAAGCGGCATATTTTCTCTTAAATGTCGGTTTATTCTTGGTACGAGTTGGTGGTGGTGTAAGGAAGCTGCCTGCGAATGCATGTTATTCTTGTGAAGCACCTGAAGACATTTGGAGCCTGTTCAGCTCTAACACTTCTTTTTCCTCTTGACCGTTTTATCCTCGAAAGTTCTATTTGGGGAAATACGACACCTGATTCTACAGTTTTGAGCGCTTTTTCTTTCGGAGCTGCTGTTTGGTGTTGGTTCGTTCCGGGGACGAACTAATGTTATTGGTTCTGCCCTTGAGCTACATGCACTGGCATGCGTATATTGGCAAATATGTCAGCGAAACATTACGGAGGGATGGAGGCATTTGAGAGTCAGGTTTGGAGGGAATCTTTAATTTGCTGTGAGCCAAGCTTATTTTGAGGTAATGAAGCCTGGAATAGCAGTTTGCTAGGGCACAAGGCAAAAGAGCCAATCATTTAGTTTAGACAAGCATTTCATGACCACCTATTGTCAGTTAAGCAGAAGGGGACACACAAGCGATGACTCCTGTCTTTAAAGACCTCTGGGTGTCCTGGGAGAAGTTTTGTGGTCCCGTAGTGCCTCGAAGGAGCCCTGGTGGGGCGTTGTGCTCGCGGAAGGGGTTACCGCGGCGGAAACCCACCGGGGCAGCAGGTTTGTTTTTTTCAAAATAGCGGCGCTATGAGTCAAGATAGACTCTATGGCAGCGGTTCTCAACCTGTGGGTCGCGACCCCTTGGGGGGGGGGTTGATCGAACGACCCTTTCACAGGGATGCGCTCAGGCTCCTCCGTGGGTCTGCAGGTGGGACCATCCACCTGCATCAGATACGCCCACCTATGGGGTCACTACCACAGGAGGAACTGGGTTAAAGGGACGCGGCATTAGGAAGGTGGAGAACCACTGCTCTGTGGCATTGAGTTTGGAAGTTTTTGGTTTA